CCGCTGGCGAAAAAAACCTGCGGGGGGAACTGCGCAAAAAACGCATCCTCGTACCGGCAGCCGGTATGCTTTCTACTAGGTTTGTCTTTAGATTGTGAATTCAGCTTGTTTGGAAAAACTTGTAGTCGTGTTTTCTGAAGATGTCAGCAGAGCTACGAGAATTGTGCAGCATTTTTACAGTGTTAGCACACGTACCAAAGGCTGCTGTGCTGGATTTTTTTGCATTACTTTGTGCTTTTCTGCAATTCATATTCTCCACCTTCGCCACGTACTGCTACTGGCTTGTAATTGTTTCGAATTTTCGCACTTAGACGGAGGATTGGCTTAACTTCAAATTGCAGCTGTTGTAAAATCTTTCCGCGAAAGATTGACAGAGTTTTTCCGAGGTAACACTTTTTGCATGCACAGAAGCCGACAAATGACGTTTCCGCATGCTAGTGGGAGGGATTTCTTACATGAAGAGCAGTGGTTCGAGTCCTCCTCGGTCTTATGTGAAAAATATAAATCAATGGGCTCGATTGAATCGACGATAATTTCATATGAAGAACATACTGAAGAGAAATTGCGATAAGTTAAATAGGTACAGTCTTCTCAAGATGTAGACAGCAGCAGAAATTTTTTGGTCGTGACTGTACGAGACTGCACAGTTTGTGACAGAACTAGTATCTTGACGTCGGCGAATTTTTCCAGGCCGCCGGAAGCACTGCCTTTCAAAATTCATGGCCCAGTAACTGTGGAAAGCAAGACAAAAAATGCAACAGCGGATTCTGATTCAGCTGTTTTGCCTCTGTCTATGGGTGTTGATCCTAATTCCGCGCAGAAGACAGCAAATGTACTGCGCCCGCTTCGTTCGTCGGGAGCAGCAGAACAAAGTGCGGCTGCATCGGAATCGCAAGTGAAAGTTGGTTTTATTGTGAAATTCATGTAATATTAGGAATTCTTATGGTAATAATACCATACACATCACCTGTATGAAAAAGTGCCAGACTGTCTATAAGAAGACACAGAGCTTCCTTTGATTTATCGCTGTCTTTGTCACAACCTGTGATAGCTCTCCTGTTCTCGTCACTGGCCATCTGCCGTATTCATTTGTCATTGCGAGTGAATACGAAAGATAGCCGCTGACAAAAATACGGTTGCCTCGAAGAACGGAGAGTGCGAACGCTGCCGTCATGCTGACTTTGGCTTCGAATTCAGATTCAGAGGATAAGAAATTTTAAAAACTCCATTCGTTCTAAACTGTATTTAACTATGAGAAAAATATCGTACTGTCGAAAACTGTTTTGATGCACAGGAAGAGCGATAAAGGAACTCAGAAAAACCTTTTGCCGGTCCGCATACCGTTTCATACTTGCAAGCTTTCATTAGAATTGCTGACAAAATTTTTAATGTATAACAGCTGAGGTTGCAAGCTGGATTCCGAATTACTGTACAATGAAACACTTTTTTATCCTAATCGAACTGCCGAAGCGTCCAAAGGATAAGCATTCGATATCTCTTTGTGGACTTGGCTGCAAAGATGAGGGCTTCTGTAGGTCAAGCGATTGACTGCTTTATGGTGTAATAAGGGGACCGAAACAGCCCATCTGATTTCTTTTCGCTGCGAAAGTCTCTTTTTTACAAAATTTTAGCATTCTAGCTTTTGTAATGCTAGAACTAAAATATTTGGCATAAAAAGAAACATACATACCTAACACATCACTACATATGTGCTTTCAGAATGGTTTCTCGCGATTGTGTTTTTGCGCCGCTGCTTCAATGGCAGCTGTACAGAGTAGCTCATTTTCAGACGCAAACATTGCGAGCCGTGCAATTAGGAACGTTTCCTTCAAGTGTGCAACGATCGGAACAGCAACAGCAGAAGCCACAGAACGAACAGCTGAGGGAAATGAGGGACGAGTTCAAGAAAAAGCTTATTCTGTTTGATGAGCAGCTTTTTGAAATGCATGAATGGAATGACTGGTTACAGAATTTGAAAACGAGCGCCGAGAGACAGCAGAAGCAGGAGGATGGTAAAAATTGATAACTTTGAACTACACAGTTTCACATCTTCATGGGTTCGCTGTGACACATTATGATAGTTCAGACACGTCGAATGAAATCCCAATCAGCCACTGCTTATCGGAATTAGTTCTTCGCTGTTTAGTTTACCAGTGTTTCCTTTTCGGGAATTGCGTAGGAACTAGCTGTTGGCCTTTATGATTCGTTCGCGTTTGTCACCTTCAAAATAAACCAAGGCTGCAGCGCACCAGGCTTGCCCGAAGCTTTCACGTACTTTTGCGCCAAGCTTGCAGTTTCCTAATAGCAAGAATAGTTCTTGCGCACACTTATACTCGTTTCGACTGTTTTTTGGTGTTTTCCCGCATGGAGGGGAAAAGGGGACCGGATGAGATGCAGGTATTGCATTAAGCCGCATGGACTTCCTGCGTGCATGATTATCAGTTTTTTACACGAAGTCCAGTCGTTTTTCTGGTGAAAGCTTGTTCACTGGAAAAATGCAAATTTGAAGGAAGTTCGAAGAAAAGTATGAAATCTGCAAATGTACTCACTTTTGAGTTTGCGATAAATTCGGATATTTGTCATGTCTGCGTGCATAGGATTTCATCTCTAAGATGAATTAAGACCACGCTTAAATATAGAATATTATTGCAAAGTTTCAGCTTCGCAGCTTACCTGGTAAATGCCTGGTAGCAAAAATTACCAGCTTGCCTGGTAATTTTTAAAGTGCCCTAAGTCGTGGTGCAGGTGCAAATCGAAACTCATTTTAGGTATACGACTTCCTAAATGAATAATAAATACGTTGGAAAAATTTCAGCTATTGTTTTCCAGCTAGTTATGCGTTTTTGCATATATATAAATTGCAAAAACGCATATTGGGAAGAGACTATATGTGTGTGTATCTGTCTGTCTATGTGTTCGCACTTTTTATCACCCACTTTCAATTCGAGAACCAGAAAAGCTAGAAGGCTGAAACTTTGCGAGTATGTGCCCGTATTGTGCGCGACCCTCTCGTTTTATTTTCATCCCCCTCGGACGCCTGGGTGCCGCGTACGGATGTCTTGAAAAAATATGCAAATTTTCTGGCGGGAAGCGGTCTCAGGAACCACATGAGCTAAGGGGCTGTAACTTTGTACGGATTTTCCTTGTGCATGGACTAGCTAAAGATTTCAAATTCAGCCTCCAGGTATGGGTGGTACTCACGTAAGGGCATACGAAATTTTTAGGGGGGGGGGGGGAAATTGCTAACTGGGGTACCAGGAAAGCTAGAAAACTGAAATTTTGGGGTAATGTTCCTATCGAAGTACAACTCAAATACTTCAAATTCAGCCTCAGGCTGTGCATGGTACTCACGTAAGGGCATATGAAAGTTTCTGCAGGAAAATTACTGACTCGGCAACTAGAAGAGCTGGAGGGCTGAAATTTTAAGCCGATGTTCCCTGTCTACGTGCAATTTAAAAATGTCAAATTCATTTTCCCAAGCACGTGGGATACCCAAGTACGGGTATTTGAAGGTTTTGGCGGGAAAGTTGCTAACCCGATAACTAAAAAAACTGGAAAGCTGAAATTTTGAGGGAATGCTCCCTGTCCAAGTACAACTTAAGTATTTCAAATTCAGCCTTGAGGTATGCGTGGTTCTTATGTACGGG